GAAGTATATTGAACCAAATCCACTTTTTATATAAATGATAGAAAACACCCATTTGATATATCTTTGTAATGAATTAACCATCTACCGACTTCCTAATTACTTTAATACTTCTTGTATAAAATCTGTTTATGTAACGTCCGGTAATTAAAACTACTTCATTCAATTTGATGTAAAAGCAATGTAACTCATTTAAAAAACGTATATCCTGTTGTGTGACCTTATTGAAATATAAATATAATGCTAAATTGACAGTCTTGTGACCTAAATATACAGACAATTCATAGAAATTAATTCACTATGTAGTCCATTCTGTACAGGCATATAAATTGCCAAAGAAAATTTCATTCTATATTAAAACACAACTAGGAGAAAAAGCGGACAGAATAATTGAAAGAAATTCAATACATTATAAACTTGTATGACATAAATAAACAAGAAGTTTATGTACCGGTAGCATAATATCCAATTCTTTGCTTACCCTTTTGTTTACAGTCTATTGTTGTTTGGATATCAGTTGTAGCATTAAAAAAACCCAGCTGTATATAAACTTCATTATTTAACAAGCGATGACATTGAATTCCTAGTATTCATTTAGTTCAACAGACGTTAAATGCTAATTCTTATAATAATAAAAAATCTACTATTTATCATTTCTTCTTTATGTGGCTTTCCATAGTGAAATCTAATTTCATACTTAACTGATCAGTATTTGAAAATGATTGATTACTTGGTCATAAGTTAAAATTGATAAACAACTGTTAGTCATTAGAATGATGATTCAATACCAGCCTTGCTTGTGATGACCCCCGTTTGAATGAATAACATACGTTAATCGATATTAAATCATGTAAACTATATATCTTCATCTATACAGTGATAAGTTAAAACTATGACTAGTTTGAAAAGGTGTAAATGAGGAAAAAATGTAAAGAAATATAGATAAGTGTGTCTACAATTTTTATCTCACTCGGTTATGATACTAAGTAACTTCACTGAGACTAAAATTATTTTGACAGTCTGGTCGAAAATTTTAAACACTTGTAAATTAAAAGGTCACTACTCAGCAACATGTGGAAGTTGGAATTTGCTTCAAAATAAATTATAGCAATCTATCACTGCACCAATCTTGTGGGATTACATATTCTGGAGGTGATTTTTCACGAAATCCTAATTTTTATATCAAGAGTTACTTTAGTATTCATAATGTAATATTACTGAAATTGTGGTTATGTAATATTAGTAGACAATCAACACTTAAGAAGTCAATCTAATTTATTGAAGCCCTTTACATAAAAGTGAGGTAATATATCGATTTAACAGACCTATAACTATCAATATGGAAGCGATGTGATCTAGTCTTAAATTGATTAAAATGATCAAGCACTGTAGCGATACTGAAGTAAGTTGGTAGATTTATTACATCCTTTTTAAGCTAGAGGTTGCACACATAATTATAGTAGGGATGAACTAATAAAATCAACGGCTTTACATATTAAAGCTATGCCTCAAAGCTCAATGAACTTTAGGCCGATGAATCACTGAAAATTCTCATCCATCATGAATACTGCTCCATTTGAATCCTAATCATTTTGACAAGTTCATTTATCTTTAGATTAACGACAGACATTAATTTTAAAGTATGTTCACCCTCTAAGCTGTATACAATACATTTTATGAAAAATATCTTACTGCTGTGACCTTAAAACTTTCAAATATATAAGGGTAAGAAAAATGTGACATTAGCCTGCAAAAAATTTGTTTCGTTTCAAGAGGAGTAGCGATAACCTTGAACTAGTTGGACAAAATTATTCAGTAGGGTTAAAACATACAGTGTTTAATGAATTCACCATAAAATGCAGTCTGATCAAGTAACTTGTGCTGAAATAGTTAGAAACTTAGCATCTAAGGAAAGACAAAGAATCTATGTACCCACTTAATTACAAATGGTTTTGAGCCATATCACTCTAAGTTTCTAACCACTGGTTACGATTTTCTCGCAGACCAAAAACAGATAGTCTACACCTACTAACGTGTCTCCTAACAACCGAATTGCTTGCTCGGTAGTCCCCGGATATTCGAGCAATGCTTCGAAGACACCTATGATCGAATACCAGTAACCTGCAAATAACGTGCACTCTTAGCGGCTATGTTTCAACGCCATATAGCAAGACGGAACGAACTGCTGCGCAGTACAGTCATCCTTTGGTTAGTAGACGGAAATCTCGCCTACGACATCAGTGACGCACGGTGGTAAAATCCAATCCACATATAGTGTAAATTATTGAAAAAAAGTAACATCAGTGACTTTACCAAAGAGAACATAGAAAATGTACTTTGGAGAAATAATAAATGATATGAAAAAATTATAAGCGCGAGATGATATCCCATCTTAAGATTTTGGTGACGATCAAGAGTTACCGAACTTTGAAACACTGAATCCATTTCAACTAACTGTCACATTGATAATGGTATGGTAAACCACGTTAAATCGTTTATTTGAATTTAGAATTCTTTTGTGAATTTATACCTATATAACGCATGTAACATTTATAACTGATGTTAAATAAAATGATATTAGCAGTATAAAATGAATAATTAATTTTAAATTGTACACTGATATGTGTTATCACACTAATTTTTGTGTGATAAAACTTGCTACTCACATCCATTGGATGACGAAATCTTAACACTATTACGCAGTATGAAATAAATATTTACTACAAAGAAAAAATAAACAGAAAAGTTTTGAACTAGCTGATTCACCTGTGTAAAATATGAGCATACTGTTTGAATGAGAGCATATTCTACTAATTAGCATTTTTTCTATTTAACCTTTAACAATCAAAATATTTTGACATTCCAAAGACCATCATTACAAGTTGTTTTTTTATAATATTCCATTGGACTAATAGTTTAACAACTCGATGATCTGTACGTGACACACACACTCAAACTGTTTATACTAGTCAAAATTTGATCAACTGATTTTACACATTTGAAATCATCAATCAATCATTGTTAGATCTCCATTAGAAACCTGGAAGCACTGGAAGGCCGTTTCGTCCTAGTGTGGGACTCATCAGCAGTACACACCACGACTCCTGCAGCTCGCAGGATTCGAACCCGTGACCTTCGGCCTTGTGCGCGAACGCCTAACCTGTGGACCACTGGGCTGGCATATTAAGTTGTTAATGTTTAACTCTGATTGATCTAGGGATTTTGCGCGACCATGAAGTATCGGTTTAGTAGTTGCTTGTACTCTTTTTCTCTCTATCCAACTAATCTTAACGTCATAACTGTCATCATTGATCAGTTAGTTTAACTACAATGATGATGAATAATTTGTAAACAAGAGACTAGTTAACCATGTTTTATTGTTGTTGTACATGAATTATTTCATGTTTTATTCACTTTTAAAATAACTTGCTTTATTTACCAATGGTGTGTATATTAGATTACAGATAAGTGAAATGAAGATAGAAAAAAATAACACAAACAAAATGATCTAGTTTCAGATCATTGGATACCAATCATGATAATAATAATAGTAATAATAATAATGGTACAATCAGATTGTAACTTTCAATCCCATTCATATCATCATCAACGGCAGTGGTAACAACATAAACAGCATAATTAATATGATTAGCTGTAATGATAATAATAGTAATAATAATGATATTAATAATAAGGTTGTTGTTTATTAATCATAGTGTATGTTCTGAAACACACACACGCAAATAGAAATACTTTCAATGTAAGAATGATAATAACACTTGATAGTAATAGTAATTCTCATAATGATAATAATTAACAAGAAATTGTGTCACATGTAATTACTGTTAATGTTACGTTAGAAATGTAAACGACCAATACACACCAACGGAATAGTTATCATATTCTTAGAATCACTACCAACTTTAGTATATTGACTAATTTTCATAGGTGAATAAAACCAAAATTCATTATAGATTTATGGAGATGGCTGTTTTGGTTGAAATCATAAATAGACCATTATTAGACCACCACCCGAAAAACCGTCAACCCCTAGTTTGGGACTCATCAGCAGTGCGCATCCACTAACTTTGCATGCGGGACTCGAACACAGGACCCTCGGTCTTGCACGCGAACGCTTAACCTCTCGATCACTGAGCCGACATTCAACAGGTCGTGGATGTGCACTGCTGATGAGTGCCATACTAGGACAAAACGGCTGTCGAGTGCTCCCAGGTTTCTATTGGTCGTCTAAGATTGATAGGTTCTTGATTTCAATGCAGCTCAACTATCTCCATAACCCTATAGTGAAAACCATCAGGTTATACTAAAATTTTGATCCTATCACATTAATATATACTTAGTGGATATAGCTCTCGATTTAAATTCATCGGGTTATTGGTCCAAACCTCTCTTGAACAACTTGATTTAGGCAGTTAGATGCCACAACTGGCTCTCATGCAGTACAGTCATAGCTTGAAATGAAGTATAACAATCTAAACCAGACTGATGAATTACTGTAAATTAGTTTCTACTGTTCTCATAATTCGGCTAGATATCATGAGAAGTCGTCAGCTGACTAAGAAGAAGTCAAGTGTCAGTAAACATAGACACGACATAACAGCCTGAAACTCGGTCCAGTTTCAACAGTGAATACTAACAATGAAGTCAATAAAAAATCAATAGAAATGTAATAAATATTCTTTTCTTTTTCGATCATAACGATTTTATTATCATCAATGTCATTAACAAATTATGCCTATTCGCCCTATATAGTTCTATTGTTATACATTTGATTGAATCAAATCGAGAGTAGAATAATTTTTGTTAGTATTTTTTGTTAATACAAAAACATTAAAAAAAAACAACAATGTTTTAACATTGAATAGATTGTTGTTATGGTTACAATCCTACATAAATGATTCGATTCATCAATAATGATAATATAAAATATGCATTTTACGGTTGTAAATGTATTCTTTTAACACAATGTGCATTGTTTTCCGAAAGAATAACAACAGAATGAATTTATCTCAAAGAATAATTAAAAAAAAATAGGGTGACTATTGAAAGATCAGATTTTATTCTGTCAGTCAGTTACAACGTAGAACTTTGTACATGAGTAAATAAGTTCAGGTTGCCGTCACTCATCAACAAAGATGCAGTTGTCAGTCCAAATCTCATAGTGGTAGCGATGGTAGAAGTATTAGCAGAAATGGACAAGATTAGGGTTCGAAGATATGATTCGAGTAGTAGAGTTCAGTGAGATAACTTAAGAAAGAGAAAAATAGAGATGATGAGGAATTCAGAAAGTTAGAATTTGGGAGAACACAAAGAATGGATGCACCTGCGCCATTACAAACGATTCTGAGCCATGTCATTCTAAGTCTCTAACCATCGGTGACTTTCGCCTCGCGGATCTCAACCAGATAACCTACACTCACCAAAATGGCTCACCAGAATTTATTCTGATGATAAAAACAATCTCCCTAAAATCGAATAACAGATGAATCATAGAATTATGCAAATTCTTGAATGCAACCGTTAGAAAACTGTCTGTTTCGGGTTTGTACACATAGAGCAATAGCTCAAACTAAACACACATCTTATCTTTGAGTGATGCTTAATCGTACCAGATTTTGTATGAAATAAAATAAACACAACATTAATATCATTGTAAATCCATCTAGTTGCACATGAAATAACTTTCAAAAAGTCTTTTGTTTTATTAATATTTAGTAGGTTTTATCAACTGGACTCATTCCTCCTTATTAACTAACTTTCATATTATCATTAGTATTCACATGATTTCACCTTCTTTTCTGTTAATTACAACTGAATTAACTGTATTGATAGTTTTTGAAAGTAATTTTTTATCATAAACACAGAAGGCGTAATCAATCCTAAATTAAGTGTTCTCAATAGTAGCCATATACAAATGTAGAAGATATATAATCCAAGATCTTTAGGTCATTCATGCTAAGAGCACGATACAATTAGATCATTTAGTTAGAATCCAGTACCTTCATATTGTAAACTTAACCAGAATTTAGATATTGTAACAAGACCCTGAATCAATGTTATTATTCTAAGGTGCTATGCAGAATGTTTCATACTACTGGTATTCTATCATCAGATAATTTTTAGATCTGAGAAATTTGTGAGATAAAATACAAAAATGTACCTACCATTTAAAAAAAAATAACTGAAGTGTTCTAATTGATCTATTACAATTAATAAACAAATGTATGGAAACACTGGCGATGATATTAGATGAAAGAACATTGATAATAAAACAAATTATTAATTCTTGTCTCCTTTTTTATTTTTTAAAAACACACTAATTAGGAATATGATTAATTTGGGACTAAGCTTCACCATATCGTAATCTTCTAGACTAATTCTAAAGTGACTAACCAGTTATTCTTCGATATTCGTCAATAACGTAAAATAAATTGAATAATTACTGAATTTAAAATGAATAAAAATTTACATTCTGAGATTAAATATTCATACCGAATAACGATGTCATTTCATTCAAACAGTTTATGATTCATCAGACAAGATAATGTATATTCTCTAATAGCTTGACTTATTCAGTCTTAATGAATAAATTTCTGGGTCAACCAGCAGACCCACAGAACATGCATGTATGATGCTTTTACACAACACGACAGTTCACACGTATGCCAATACACATGATCCCTACCGCTTGAGGGTACGTACATGTTGTCTAGTTCCTCTCTCGCAATTCTGTTGGACATCTAGTCAGTACACGCACGTATTAAAATATGATTATACATAGCATACTTACAGTATAATAAAATTCCGTAATATCACCAAAAGCTGCTTGTCTCGAATTATGATGACGTCGACATTCTTCAGCAGGATTCAATTCAGTCATATGTAGAACACGATATATACGTGCACAAACACCACATATACCTGAAGCTCCGTTAACAGATGTAAGATTGTATGTTAATTCCATGTAAACAGGTGAGCGGGGTTCATTATCAGGTGTTATACCACCAGGTGAATAAAATGAAGGAGCACTTTCCCAATCTGAATAAAGCAAATGTCTTCCTGTAGATAAACGTTCAAAATTCACCGGCTCATATGAATGACCATAAATGCCATCAAGGCCAACAATTATAACTACTATGATAAGTATAAGAATGTTTTCTAACATAAGATTCATATTTGCGACGAATATTAACTTAAACCATAAAAGTAAACACGAGATAAGTACATATTTACAAGCAACATCAAAATCCAAGTTAAAGTACTGCTTTGTGAATAGATAACAATAATCTCAATGTTTTCAGCAGTCAACGTAACTTATTCAAATCTGAAAAATTTAACGTGACATGAGCCAACCAAAAAGTCGTAGTGTCTTTTTTAATTGTCAACTTAATGATTCAGCGTGAACATGTGCGACAATTTTCATGAGTGAACCATGATTGGCCAAAATTTGACTGGCCAAATATTGTCTACCAATAAGCTTTTAGATTATTAGAATGATAGCTGAATATCACCCTAGATTTTGTTTACATTAAAAAAAAGAGCATTTCAATTCACAAATTCAAGATTTTCGAAATAAACTGTCTCCAGTATATTCAGAAGTACACAAACTTTGTTTGGCATTTGTGAAAGGAATAACTATATTTCTAATCATAAAATACTAACAGCCTAAAGATTAAAATGATAACGAAAATAAAGTAATATGATTTTTTACATAAGAATCGTGAATCAGTCCTTGTTAGACCATCATTAGGAACCTAGAAGCACTGGACGGCCATTTTTTTCTAGTATGGGCATCACCAGCTGTGCACATCGACGAGCCACGGTCGAGGGAGTCGAATTTAAGAACCTTTGGTCTCTCACGTCCATGCTTAACCTCTAGACCACCGAGCTGGCATCCAACGGTGTTAATGACTAACTAATGAGTCCCATACTAGGACAGAATGTCCATCCAGTGATTCCAGGTTTCTGATGCTGATCTAACAATGACTGATTCACGATTCTTATGTAAAAAATCATATTACTTTATTTTCGTTATCATTTTAATCTTTAGGCTGTTAGTATTTTATGATTAGAAATATAGTTATTCCTTCACAAATGCCAAACAAAGTTTGTGTACTTCTGAATATACTGGAGACAGTTTATTTCGAAAATCTTGAATTTGTGAATTGAAATGCTCTTTTTTTTAATGTAAACAAAATCTAGGGTGATATTCAGCTATCATTCTAATAATCTAAAAGCTTATTGGTAGACAATATTTGGCCAGTCAAATTTTGGCCAATCATGGTTCACTCATGAAAATTGTCGCACATGTTCACGCTGAATCATTAAGTTGACAATTAAAAAAGACACTACGACTTTTTGGTTGGCTCATGTCACGTTAAATTTTTCAGATTTGAATAAGTTACGTTGACTGCTGAAAACATTGAGATTATTGTTATCTATTCACAAAGCAGTACTTTAACTTGGATTTTGATGTTGCTTGTAAATATGTACTTATCTCGTGTTTACTTTTATGGTTTAAGTTAATATTCGTCGCAAATATGAATCTTATGTTAGAAAACATTCTTATACTTATCATAGTAGTTATAATTGTTGGCCTTGATGGCATTTATGGTCATTCATATGAGCCGGTGAATTTTGAACGTTTATCTACAGGAAGACATTTGCTTTATTCAGATTGGGAAAGTGCTCCTTCATTTTATTCACCTGGTGGTATAACACCTGATAATGAACCCCGCTCACCTGTTTACATGGAATTAACATACAATCTTACATCTGTTAACGGAGCTTCAGGTATATGTGGTGTTTGTGCACGTATATATCGTGTTCTACATATGACTGAATTGAATCCTGCTGAAGAATGTCGACGTCATCATAATTCGAGACAAGCAGCTTTTGGTGATATTACGGAATTTTATTATACTGTAAGTATGCTATGTATAATCATATTTTAATACGTGCGTGTACTGACTAGATGTCCAACAGAATTGCGAGAGAGGAACTAGACAACATGTACGTACCCTCAAGCGGTAGGGATCATGTGTATTGGCATACGTGTGAACTGTCGTGTTGTGTAAAAGCATCATACATGCATGTTCTGTGGGTCTGCTGGTTGACCCAGAAATTTATTCATTAAGACTGAATAAGTCAAGCTATTAGAGAATATACATTATCTTGTCTGATGAATCATAAACTGTTTGAATGAAATGACATCGTTATTCGGTATGAATATTTAATCTCAGAATGTAAATTTTTATTCATTTTAAATTCAGTAATTATTCAATTTATTTTACGTTATTGACGAATATCGAAGAATAACTGGTTAGTCACTTTAGAATTAGTCTAGAAGATTACGATATGGTGAAGCTTAGTCCCAAATTAATCATATTCCTAATTAGTGTGTTTTTAAAAAATAAAAAAGGAGACAAGAATTAATAATTTGTTTTATTATCAATGTTCTTTCATCTAATATCATCGCCAGTGTTTCCATACATTTGTTTATTAATTGTAATAGATCAATTAGAACACTTCAGTTATTTTTTTTTAAATGGTAGGTACATTTTTGTATTTTATCTCACAAATTTCTCAGATCTAAAAATTATCTGATGATAGAATACCAGTAGTATGAAACATTCTGCATAGCACCTTAGAATAATAACATTGATTCAGGGTCTTGTTACAATATCTAAATTCTGGTTAAGTTTACAATATGAAGGTACTGGATTCTAACTAAATGATCTAATTGTATCGTGCTCTTAGCATGAATGACCTAAAGATCTTGGATTATATATCTTCTACATTTGTATATGGCTACTATTGAGAACACTTAATTTAGGATTGATTACGCCTTCTGTGTTTATGATAAAAAATTACTTTCAAAAACTATCAATACAGTTAATTCAGTTGTAATTAACAGAAAAGAAGGTGAAATCATGTGAATACTAATGATAATATGAAAGTTAGTTAATAAGGAGGAATGAGTCCAGTTGATAAAACCTACTAAATATTAATAAAACAAAAGACTTTTTGAAAGTTATTTCATGTGCAACTAGATGGATTTACAATGATATTAATGTTGTGTTTATTTTATTTCATACAAAATCTGGTACGATTAAGCATCACTCAAAGATAAGATGTGTGTTTAGTTTGAGCTATTGCTCTATGTGTACAAACCCGAAACAGACAGTTTTCTAACGGTTGCATTCAAGAATTTGCATAATTCTATGATTCATCTGTTATTCGATTTTAGGGAGATTGTTTTTATCATCAGAATAAATTCTGGTGAGCCATTTTGGTGAGTGTAGGTTATCTGGTTGAGATCCGCGAGGCGAAAGTCACCGATGGTTAGAGACTTAGAATGACATGGCTCAGAATCGTTTGTAATGGCGCAGGTGCATCCATTCTTTGTGTTCTCCCAAATTCTAACTTTCTGAATTCCTCATCATCTCTATTTTTCTCTTTCTTAAGTTATCTCACTGAACTCTACTACTCGAATCATATCTTCGAACCCTAATCTTGTCCATTTCTGCTAATACTTCTACCATCGCTACCACTATGAGATTTGGACTGACAACTGCATCTTTGTTGATGAGTGACGGCAACCTGAACTTATTTACTCATGTACAAAGTTCTACGTTGTAACTGACTGACAGAATAAAATCTGATCTTTCAATAGTCACCCTATTTTTTTTTAATTATTCTTTGAGATAAATTCATTCTGTTGTTATTCTTTCGGAAAACAATGCACATTGTGTTAAAAGAATACATTTACAACCGTAAAATGCATATTTTATATTATCATTATTGATGAATCGAATCATTTATGTAGGATTGTAACCATAACAACAATCTATTCAATGTTAAAACATTGTTGTTTTTTTTTAATGTTTTTGTATTAACAAAAAATACTAACAAAAATTATTCTACTCTCGATTTGATTCAATCAAATGTATAACAATAGAACTATATAGGGCGAATAGGCATAATTTGTTAATGACATTGATGATAATAAAATCGTTATGATCGAAAAAGAAAAGAATATTTATTACATTTCTATTGATTTTTATTGACTTCATTGTTAGTATTCACTGTTGAAACTGGACCGAGTTTCAGGCTGTTATGTCGTGTCTATGTTTACTGACACTTGACTTCTTCTTAGTCAGCTGACGACTTCTCATGATATCTAGCCGAATTATGAGAACAGTAGAAACTAATTTACAGTAATTCATCAGTCTGGTTTAGATTGTTATACTTCATTTCAAGCTATGACTGTACTGCATGAGAGCCAGTTGTGGCATCTAACTGCCTAAATCAAGTTGTTCAAGAGAGGTTTGGACCAATAACCCGATGAATTTAAATCGAGAGCTATATCCACTAAGTATATATTAATGTGATAGGATCAAAATTTTAGTATAACCTGATGGTTTTCACTATAGGGTTATGGAGATAGTTGAGCTGCATTGAAATCAAGAACCTATCAATCTTAGACGACCAATAGAAACCTGGGAGCACTCGACAGCCGTTTTGTCCTAGTATGGCACTCATCAGCAGTGCACATCCACGACCTGTTGAATGTCGGCTCAGTGATCGAGAGGTTAAGCGTTCGCGTGCAAGACCGAGGGTCCTGTGTTCGAGTCCCGCATGCAAAGTTAGTGGATGCGCACTGCTGATGAGTCCCAAACTAGGGGTTGACGGTTTTTCGGGTGGTGGTCTAATAATGGTCTATTTATGATTTCAACCAAAACAGCCATCTCCATAAATCTATAATGAATTTTGGTTTTATTCACCTATGAAAATTAGTCAATATACTAAAGTTGGTAGTGATTCTAAGAATATGATAACTATTCCGTTGGTGTGTATTGGTCGTTTACATTTCTAACGTAACATTAACAGTAATTACATGTGACACAATTTCTTGTTAATTATTATCATTATGAGAATTACTATTACTATCAAGTGTTATTATCATTCTTACATTGAAAGTATTTCTATTTGCGTGTGTGTGTTTCAGAACATACACTATGATTAATAAACAACAACCTTATTATTAATATCATTATTATTACTATTATTATCATTACAGCTAATCATATTAATTATGCTGTTTATGTTGTTACCACTGCCGTTGATGATGATATGAATGGGATTGAAAGTTACAATCTGATTGTACCATTATTATTATTACTATTATTATTATCATGATTGGTATCCAATGATCTGAAACTAGATCAATTTGTTTGTGTTATTTTTTTTCTATTCTTCATTTCACTTATCTGTAATCTAATATACACACCATTGGTAAATAAAGCAAGTTATTTTAAAAGTGAATAAAACATGAAATAATTCATGTACAACAACAATAAAACATGGTTAACTAGTCTCATGTTTACAAATTATTCATCATCAAAAAAGTTAAACTAACTGATCAATGATGACAGTTATGACGTTAAGATTAGTTGGATAGAGAGAAAAAGAGTACAAGCAACTACTAAACCGATACTTCATGGTCGCGCAAAATCCCTAGATCAATCAGAGTTAAACATTAACAACTTAATATGCCAGCCCAGTGGTCCACAGGTTAGGCGTTCGCGCACAAGGCCGAATGTCACGGTTCGAATCTGCGAGCTGCAGGAGTCGTGGTGTGTACTGCTGATGAGTTCCCACACTAAGACGAAACGGCCTTCCAGTGCTTCCAGGTTTCTAATGGAGATCTAACAATGATTGATTGATGATTTCAAATGTGTAAAATCAGTTGATCAAATTTTGACTAGTATAAACAGTTTGAGTGTGTGTGTCACGTACAGATCATCGAGTTGTTAAACTATTAGTCCAATAGAATATTATAAAAAAACAACTTGTAATGATGGTCTTTGGAATGTCAAAATATTTTGATTGTTAAAGGTTAAATAGAAAAAATGCTAATTAGTAGAATATGCTATCATTCAAACAGTATGCTCATATTTTACACAGGTGAAACAGCTAGTTCAAAACTTTTCTGTTTATTTTTTCTTTGTAGTAAATATTTATTTCATACTGCGTAATAGTGTTAAGATTTCGTCATCCAATGGATGTGAGTAGCAAGTTTTCTCACACAAAAATTAGTGTGATAACACATATCAGTGTACAATTTAAAATTAATTATTCATTTTATACTGCTAATATCATTTTATTTAACATCAGTTATAAATGTTACATGCGTTATATAGGTATAAATTCACAAAAGAATTCTAAATTCAAATAAACGATTTAACGTGGTTTACCATACCATTATCAATGTGACAGTTAGTTGAAATGGATTCAGTGTTTCAAAGTTCGGTAACTCTTGATCGTCACCAAAATCTTAAGATGGGATATCATCTCGCGCTTATAATTTTTTCATATCATTTATTATTTCTCCAAAGTACAATTTCTAGTTTCTCATTGGTAAAGTCACTGATGTTACTTTTTTTCAATAATTTACACTATAGGTGGATTGGATTTTACCACCGTGCGTCACTGATGTCGTAGGCGAGATTTCCGTCTACTAAACAAAGGATGACTGTACTGCGCAGCAGTTCGTTCCGTCTTGCTATATGGCGTTGAAACATAGCCGCTAAGAGTGCACGTTATTTGCAGGTTACTGGTATTCGATCATAGGTGTCTTCGAAGCATTGCTCGAATATCCGGGGACTACCGAGCAAGCAATTCGGTTGTTAGGAGACACGTTAGTAGGTGTAGACTATCTGTTTTTGGTCTGCGAGAAAATCGTAACCAGTGGTTAGAAACTTAGAGTGATATGGCTCAAAACCATTTGTAATTAAGTGGGTACATAGATTCTTTGTCTTTCCTTAGATGCTAAAATTCTAACTATTTCAGCACAAGTTACTTGATCAGACTGCATTTTATGGTGAAGTCATTAAACACTGAATGTTTTAACCCTACTGAA